CTACCTCGTCCTTAGAGTATTTTGCTTCTCAAAATGGCGTCAATATACCCGCTGCCAGTTTGAAAACCGAGGTGCTCCTGGTGACGAGACTTTTGTCGAATACATTCAGTTACGTAGAGCAGTTAAACGTGCGATGGGGATCAAGTTGTTGAAAATGAACGTTTCCACCTGTCTTGAATACACGTGAATGATTATGCAACTATAATTAAATTATATAACGAGATAAATTGCTGCGTGCATGAGAGCATTTGAATTGTCAAATAGTTCTGTGTTTTGGCAAAACGTTTTCTTTTATCTTCGCGGAGACCTTCCTGTGGCTAGGATATTGGGCGTGATTGAATTGGGCTGTAATTCATCAAAGTATGCCCCGACATAACTGTCACATCAAAATACCTTTTCCATTTTCTTATCGTTTGCTACGAGCTCTCAAATTGTTACGATTGTCCAAAAAAAATAGATTCAAAATAATCGGAGCGGAAGTGAAACATAAACAAGCTGCCTTATCGCATAAGCTGGGGTGATCAGGAGTAAGATGGAAGCCTATTTCTTACATTTCAAAGTCATTATTAATCTAGTTGGTTGATCAGATGTTCTTTGCCAAACGTACCCCCACTAGGACTATTTGACAAGTAGCCAAAACATGTCTCGAGGTTAAGTTTATTGCTAGGAGTCAGTTCAAGTTTTACCTAGTTAGTGTATAAGACTGAGGAAAGACATGTTGTATTTTTATCGAAAACTGAAGAGGGTAAATGGAAACAGAAAGAATTATTGTTGACAAGGTATGCAAACATAATCCTGTAGTTAAGTACAGTTTAATTTTAATGAATAAATTCCCGTACCATTTAATGTGTTTGGAGAGTCCGGGTTCGGCCATTTTGTAGACTTCACTGTTTAATGCCATGGCTTCCCCACCCACCCACCCTATGAAGAAACGTATTGCGTGATTGAATTTGAAGGTCATTTCTCCCTTCATGCCTATACTATGGTACAACTTCTAATAAAGTGGAAGGAGAGGCGTTAGGGGGAGGGGGGGGAAGGGGGTTAAAAGTACGTGATTGAAACTGATTTACCCATTTCTGATAAGTCAGTTAAACTAAGGGATTGCTTGGATTCGTTTTGGTTGTACTCTTCCAATCTTTCATTTTTAATAATTTAATGTAATGTCAATCTCGTTCTTCCAATTATCAGTATTTCAGTCCATTTCAGCATCTTGTTTGCTATGCTTCGAGTAAATTTTCAGCTTTGTGAGAAATAAAACATCGCTGAATAGTTTCCTCGCGGGTCGAGAAAAGAACACGGAGGTCGAAAAACAACATCAAATGGAGATTCTTCACAAGATATGCTTTTCGATTTAGCTTCAGTACTCATGTTGAATTTGGGCGCTTTGCAGCTGGTTGCTGTTGTTAGTGTCTATGTGTCCCCATGTTGTATTCAAGCCAGAAAATGCTTAAAAATGAGGCGTTTAGGAGCGATCTTTAAGGTCTAATTCTTGCTTAGATAGAGAAAGCAGCCACCGATTCCAGGAGGTAAACGTAGTTTTGTCTCGGATGATTGTTGAGCGGTAGCTATAGTTTCGATGCGATTTTTTAATAAGGGAAAAGTCAAAAAACAAGGATTTTACTTTCATGATTCTTCGGTTTCTATGAGCAGAAAATCTGACACTCTTACCTTAGGGGTAGCCCGGAAAAGGGGTCGTAAGGCGAAACCCAAACACGAGGGCCAGCTCGAAAGATTAACATACGGCGGTGAGAGGTCTTATGGACAGCGATAGACTGTCAACAGCCGGCTTTTCTTGAAACTCCTGTTAGCGGCCACAGCCAGACCCTGCCCCTTTCTTTTTATTTTCAATCATTGGCTCTAATGTCACTTGCTTTCTTTCTCTTTTTGAGTTGTTAGCTACCTTTGATTTCTTTCATGATATCTGTGTCTTACTTTCAGTTAAGTGGGTATTTTGGTTTAGCAGAAAACTAATTCCAGTTTATTCAAACTCAAAGGTCTAAAAATATTTGTATGAAAATCGTAATTTTGATTATAGAAAAGGCTCGTGGAAGTATGATAAGGTTGTGTTGTGACTTTTATTTTGCATTTTTTTTTCTGGCTTTTTTTTTACCATAATTTGGTGACGTTGAAAGGAAACACGCACAACCACCACAATGTCACTATGGTAATAGTATAAGAATAGGATTCATAACCTTCTTTAATTTATGTTGAGAAAGCTTTGAACTGATATTTTTACTTTCCGATTATTGAAAAACCAAACTTGAACATCATATTTCCACTTCTAAAATATACTAGCTGATATCATCGTTACTTTAAACCACGGCTTGCATCCTCAATTTTTCGTTGCCTCTTTCATTGCAGATTTAATCTTACATACAGCTGGGTGAGATTTAACTCAAAAAGGTGAAATGAAAAGGTTATCTTCGCTCTAAAAGCTGTCCACATTTGCTGAGACCGAGCTTTCACGTGCTCCCTTCAATTGTGATACCTAGTTAGCAGAAGCCACGCTGTTTCAAGTAGCTTGCGACTAAATCGAATGTTACGTAACCGCTCTCTGAAAATAATTTGTTTCGTGTGCGACTGATACTGAAAAGATTGGGGTGGACCTGAAAATATCATTTCGGGTAAGGAAAATGATGTTGGTTGAATACCGTTAGGATTGGAGAACACCATGACGAATTTGATGCGTCTGATAATGAGACCCTTCACGCGCTTTCCGAGACTCGATTCCACGTGCTTTCATATGACAATTTCTCAATTTTAAGGACAGATTGTACAATTATCCCAACTTTGATGTAAGCACTCTTTTGCAAATTGTGAGCTAGGTGTTACCAGCTATGAAAGTGAGTACTATTCGACTCAGATTTTAACAATACCGTTATTCAGTGTACATGTGCCGGCCATGCCGGTGGTACATTCATTAGGCTCGGGTGCAAGTAACTGTTCAGTGCTACTTAATTACCTGCAATAATTAACAGCATAGACCTTGTGAGGACAAAAATTGCAAACAGCATCATCCCTCAAGTTTGAACAAATCTCCTTGTATGAAACTTCTAAAGCCATGTGCTCTCAAACTTTGACTGACGGTAAAATTTTTTATTTTCCAAAAATAGCTGAGAATTCTCGCTTAGTGATTGGTTAAGGGCTCTGATCTCTGAGACCCAGATCACAATGAGTTAATTATATAATGACATGCGACTCTCACGTGGTTAATTAAGAACGTTTTAGCGTACTTTGAACTCTTTTCTTTAAACAAGATATCAGACCACCTGAGATGTTTACTTTATTGTTCCTCGCCTGAGGTCAATCGGCCATAAAGAATTGTTAAAGTTTGATTTTTTTTATGTTGGAAATTATTTTGAGCAAAGATTTTTCTTCCCTGGAGAAAAGCAAAGCCTTTAGAGCTTGCCACTCTCGGTTCTCATCTATTTTTGTCGTCCTTTACGTCTCAAGATCCGAAGAGATCTGATCTCCCCCTTCTTATCTATAACATAAATTTCTATGTATATTAAAAAAAGTGGATTTATTATCTTCTACAAGTGATGATTGTTTGACTTCTCATTATCAATTTGCTTTATAATGTACAAGTATAAACAAGTATTACGAGGAGAAGTTCCATATTAATCACAGCTAGTCCTGTTGGGAGGTGGAAACGATGGAATATGTTAATTCATTGCTTCAAACCTAAAACTCTACCCCTCTGTACTGCTTTTTTTGTGGTTAGGTTACTGCTGTTTTATTTGAATTCTCAATTTTTTGTGAAAAGCATTAAAAAAAAAAAAAAAAAACAGCAACAGAGGCGTGGCTAACACAATTTAGCAAGGGAATAAAAACAGACTCTTTTACAAGTTCTTTTTTGTGTGTGGGAATAGTAATAATTATTTCATGTAACAACCGTGCATGAGACAAAGGAAAAAAAATCATCGGAGTCTCCCTTTAGGAATCGAAACTTAGATCTTCAAAATTTGCCCTCCGATGATCTACCACCGAGCCACAGTGACTCCGCGATGGATATAGTGTTTGGAGTAATATTTTATCTTTGCAACTTGCACATAATATATTTCTTGGAGAACTAATGTGTTAAAGATGTAAACAAAAATAAATTACTTTCTGACTGTAGCCCGGTTGGTTAAAGAAAGATTAAGGTTGATTAAGCGAACGTAGGGCTAGCCAACAACTTCTGATTTAGTTTTGCAGCTTTGCAAACAGTTTTAATTGTTTCTAGTGTCTCTCCTTCAGTTTTTTCTCGCGCTGAGGTAAAACCCCAATGTAAGTCCTACAACACGCTTTATTTCGAGAGAAATAGAGGAAAAATTAAACTGTTAACCCTGGAATATCACTAACCGCTTTTTGAACAACCGAGCCCAGGTGCTTGAGTTTTGTCTTGAATGACTTATAATTTAATGCCTTGGCTTTTCTCAAGGGTCTTTCACCGATATACCGTTGTCATTGACCTCCCTTGTTCCTGCATATTTTCCAGCCATGTAAGCTTCTTTGACTTTCTCCAGCCAAAAAAGGTTGCCTCATAATCTCTTGATCTCTTTTATTTCTCTCCCAGTCCCATCCTAAATTACCTTGAACATCGCCTAGATTACAGATTACTTTCAAAGAGAGAAGAAAATTTCTTAGAAGTCTCAGTCATCGTCATCTATGGTAAGTTTCCTATTCTTTCCACCAGAGACATACAGGGGTTAGACTTTCCATGTTACTAAATAACGTATACTGAAAAAACCAACTTTTAGTTTCTGCGGATAATAACAAAGGAAAAACATTCCTGCTTACATCACAGATTCTTAAAGCTTAAAAGTTAAAGCTTTCCGCGTGAAAAATGTTTCTTCCAAGCTTATGGGTTCAAAATTTGGTGGAAAAATGATTATCAAGGAAAAGGAAGTGAACGAAACATCTTTCACTTCCGCTTCCGTATGAGCCTGCAATATCCTGAGCAGCGCCCTGTGTAGAGGATGCGTAAACAAAGGCCGGGGACCAGAGCGGAAACGGAATTAGACTGGATCAACAGCTGAGAGCGGCACGCTTACACTATGAGTGGAAGAATTAGCGAAGTCTCTTAAAATTCTCGATAAATGTTTGCAAAACTCAAGCAGAAAATCGCCGAAGAGGAATCAACCTCAGACTCCAGCCGCTCTTTGCCTTCTAGTCCGAGTGTTCGACGAGCTAAAGTCAATGGATGGACGGAGAACAAATGGGAAAGGCGAAGACTCAGCAATGCGAGTAGCTTGTACGAATCAAGGGAATCACTACTCAGCGAAAGCAGTACTGTTTCATCAGGGCTTAATGTATCAAGACATGCATCTTTCACGAGCAGATCAGCCGCGACTCCAGTTGGGACGCCCATCGAACCTCCGGGTTTTTCGGTGTGTAGTAGTGTTAGTTTGACCATTAGAGCTCTGTTTCTCGTTGTCTTGTTGCCTTTCCTCTCATGACTTTTTAATATCATGCATTGTTTCGCTGTGACCTTGACTACACCATGTCCCAGAGCCGAAAACGTTGTAGGATATCATTTGTTTCGGCAAAAAATGGTGACTTTGTAAATGGAGAAATACTTTCTTTTGAATTAGTACTAAAGCTTGATGCTCTTTTGCCCATATGGCGAGAATTGTGGCTTGGTCGCGGTGAATTAAATTATGATAGATATTCCACGTTGCCAACTCATTACCACTCTTTAAAGGTAAAAATAGTGATGAAGAATTCCCTTATCGTTTCAAGGAATGTGTTAGCAGGGCAATACAGTAACACGACAAAGCTATCCTTTTTAAAAAAATGCGTTCTGTTGTTGATCTGATGTAAGTTGACTCAAAATAACAGAGGTCATAAATAATGAATCACGAATGTTTGGTAGGAGTGATTCACTTTGTTCGACCGTATATAGGTTCAAATCTGATTGAAAGTTGTATTGAGAGTTATACTTTAGCAAATTTCACCAAATTTCCTCTACATTTCCAAATAAAAGGTTTTGATTTGCATACATGTAAAGTTGTACATGTATCCACCTCATCCTTGCTTGGGTGGGTTTATGGCTGTTCATGCTCTGTTGCACAATGTAGTGCTCCTTGGTACATTGTTTTTACCACAGGTTTCCTTCAAATCTGTTTTGGCTGATTGCAAAGAAAAGACTGGCATTCTGTCTGGTGTGAAAGAGATCTTATTAAGATGTTTCTCATCTCATTATTTCCCTATGCATAATCGACACCAATCAGTAAACCAATTTTTACCTGTTTTGAAATGGAAAATGATAGTAATTACATTTGTGATCTATAACTTCATATTGGTATAAAAGGATACTTAAGCACTCAGCTCATTAAGATTCTCTTTAAATGTATATTTAAAATATTCAACTTGTAAACATCCTTTGACTTCTTTAATTGCCAAAACTATTCTTTTAGAATTAAATCTTCAAATTTAATCCTTTGTGAAAGATCATTTATGCAGTCTCAAAATTTTATGCCTTAAATAAGCTACATGTAGTTTGAAATCTCATGTAAAGCAGAAGAATGTTGATATATGTGTACAAGTACAGACAAATCACTATTATCAACAATGCATATCAACAAGGAAAGAAACATTTTGGGGGTGGTGGGAGAATTGATTAAATTTCATATGCTATATTTAATCACAAAAAGAGGTCTCTTAGGCATATGTTAAAGATTATAGCTTCAACCCTTAATTACCACAACTTTTTTGATTCCTTGTGGTGGTGTCCATTTGGAGGAGCTGGAACTGTGTGAAAATGTATATTTTTGTTGTTGTTGCAGGTCAACTCTCGGTCATCAAAGGAAGAAATTCTTCATTTGTTGGCGAAGAAAGGGGATCAAGTCAGTAAACTGGAAGCAAAGATTGCAGGTGAACAGATATTCAAAAACTCCTTTAAATGAACCCATCCTGTTTGTAGATTTATTAAGTACTACACATGTAGTTGATCAGTGTGATCAGGGTAAGCAGCAAACATTATGACTCTATGATCTTTCAAGCTGTACTTGCTCAGTTGCATTGCTGTTTCTGTTTTACCTGTTTTTCTAGATATGGCAAGTCTACTGAGAGAGCAAACCCGAGTTAAGGAATCCCTTGAAGGTGCTCTTGAAAAGCAGAAGGAAGGTAATGATAGCAACAAATTTTTGAATGTATGTGCATGCATGCCATGTGTAATACAACTAAAAAATATTACCCAGACCAGATGCACCTTCTTGATAAGCAGTGATATTCAAACTTTTCAGGAGAAAAGTGTGAGGCAATCATTATGGGACATTCTCCACAAAAATTGGTTTAATCAAAGAAATTTAACTTGAGAATTTGTGCTGCAGCGGGAAATTTTCTAATATCTGATGGCCGGCAAACACCTTGAATGCTACTACCATTCATCACAATGGTACAGAAACTAAATTTGGTCTGTGATACAAGGTTGATTTGTTTGAAAATCTCAAGATCAAATACTTTGCCCTGCCTTTTCAGGCTATTCTTAATTCTCCCTTTGTTGCATTCTGTGACTGAGATATTTTTCCTCTTTTTTACCATTTAGTTGACATTTCTCTGGCCTTTGTTTATTTCCTTTGCAATACTATGTCAATGACAGATATATTTTTTGCTCTTTTTTCCATTTGCATGACATATAGTTTACTCTGATTGTCATGAGCGTTTTCATTGTCAAATCACTACATACATGACTTGTATAGTTGTAAAATATGTTTTGTGCAACAATCAGGAAAGCATAATCATTTATACAATGCTAAGAAACTGAAGACACCTCAGATCCAGTCTGATGGCTGGTTTGCTGGCTGGATGGTATAACAAATTATAAAGTAAACCTTGAACTGAAATGTCAACTTTACATTACAGAGCACTCTATGAGATTAAGAAGTATGAATATGGAGTTTGAAGAGAAATCCAGGAAGATGAAAAACGAATTTGAAAAGACTCTAGATGAAAAAAATCAGGTATTACTAACAGTGTGTTTGTAACTTTATATCAAGTAATAATGGTAAAGATGTTTTAAACTTTAACTAGTTTTTGTTCCCATGATCTTTGTTTTTATGGTTCTAGTTTTCATAATTAATTGTTTGAAAGTTAAATGCTATTTTTAAATTTTGAATACAGTGAATTTACAAATATGCTATTTACAGTTGCGTTAGAATTTTCCATATTTAAGGATTTATAGCAGATTTTTTCTCTCATTGATTTTCGAGATTGTTGTTAAATTCAGAGGATGGTGTTTTTATGCTGTTGTGGAATGTAGTACACAACAGAGAGTTATGTCATGCAAGTATGCCACATACAATTACAGCACATTACTTTGATTCAATCCTGTAAAATGAACAGTAGCTACATGTTCATTGTACATGAGCTGCTGTACTCAGACATACAGTTTGAGATTACTATGAAATCTCCTGTTGCCATTTTGCAAAAGTTCCAGTTGCTGACAGATTATATTTGTTTACAGTGGTAATGAAACTGCCCTACACATAGGTGCAATAATGTAGTCCAAAGACTTATTGATTTCTGTAAGAGAAATATTACAATGCGTTAGATTATAAAACTACAGTGTGTGGTGTTACTATGTTTTATAATAGTAATGTTCATGCACACTTTAGAAATGTTCATGCAGACTGTTCCTTGAATTTTTAGTGAAATCAAATTTCTAAAAGTTGCATTAAAGAAAAGTATAGTTTAGACACTTTGGATATGCACAGCCTCTCCATGGTGTCACACACCCAGGCCTACTTGTTGTAAGACTGGAAAACGCTATCCAGCAGATAAACCCCTACCCAGAGGATGAGTATTATCAGAAGTGTACCGCAAAAAGAGATTTTTTCAGGGAATAGTGTTAGCCACCCTTCAAACAACTGGGCCATACAGGTCTTGAATTTCTGTGGAGTCGCATATAAATATAAAAAAGTCTGACTTAATATTGGACCAACTCTCTTGTCCTGCCTTATACTAACTGATTCTAAAATGAAATAATTATTTTAAAATTTCTCATTTTCTGAACTATTGTTTATCAAAGTATGAAATCATTAAAATGTTTGGAATTAAACTTTTAGGAACTTGAAAGTAAACTAAAGGAATTAACTTTGGTAAGATCAGATTGTTGCCTTTTTTAAAATCTCTAAAAATCTAGCTCAGACCTAAATTAACTGGCTCTGCTGTTATTGATAATGATTATTATTGGTTAAAGAATGTACTCACTGATTTGAGAGAACTTTTGTTTACATTTGTATAAAAATTTTTTGTCCTGGATTTACCTGTAAATACCTGGAGTCTGCATGAATTATCAAATTCAAACACACTTTTCTTGAGTATTTTTCAATTTAGACAATGGCATTACAGGGCACTGGTGGAATTAGATTCGATGAAAATAAATCTTGTACTGCATGCTAACCATTTCTTTTTTAACATTGAGAGTTTCAACATCTTCCTTTTCTAGTAGAAAAAAAAAGCAAAACAAACTGATATCAGCATGCAACCCACATAGGAAATGGGTCATGCATATTATAGTCATTCAGAGCATGTGCTTTTGTAAAGCTGTGTTATAAGTTAAAATAAGGTACATGGCAATTAAATTAAAAAATTTGAAGATATCAGTTCTAAGTTTATAAAACATTCTGGTGGTTTAGGAAAGCACTCGCTATGCAGACTTGAATGAACTAAACCAACTCCAACAGCAAGAACTCACCAAGATGAAGTCCTTGGTAGGTTTTGCATTTTGCAACTACCCTTAAACTGTAGCAGTACTGAAATTTTATTTGGATAGCGCATCTAATAACAGCCAAAGGCATTAGTCTCCTCCATGGCTCTATGAAATACTAAATTGTCAAAATATTAGAATGTTGAATTAATTAAATAGCTAAACTTTCCTTGCTACCAATTCTGAAGCTGTAAGGCATGGATTTCTTCATGCCAAAATCAATGAAAGTAACTCCCCTTTTACTTTGTCAAAGTGGGAAAGCAGACTAAATCATTAACATTGTTCCACTGTTCAACAGTATTACATGTGTATTGCTTTTTTGCGCTGCTATTAAGAATTCTTAAACTGTAAATGTCATCAGTGATGAATCAGAGAAATAATTCCACAGGTGTTTATGTGGTAAGTAGTCAATATGGCTTGATTTCTGTGCTCTTGACCTCTTCTTGGAATTTCTTTACTAAATCAGACATGAATTTTTGAAAATCATTCTGCAATGACACATGAGGCATCGTGACAAGGTCTTATTATTTCTTGTTCCAATGCAACTGTAACAAAAATTTAAATTGAAAGGTGTGAAATGGAATCATGATGACTGAATGAAAAAAAATGGGCTAGTTAAAACTTTAATAAATGATTATATACACAAATGAATAAATAAATAAATGATCAAAGTTATAAAGAATGAATTGGTTGCAATGAAAAGAAATGTCATTAAGTAAATGAATTAACAAATGTGAGAAAATAAATTCCTGGACAAAAAACAGTTGAGTTGTCTGATCTTACATCAGTTGACTTGACTATTAAGCATGAAGATCCTTTTACACATTTTTAGTTAGCAACCAAACACGTTCTCTATTATTTTTTATCACAATTTGTCTTGGTAAATGATTTGATTTAAGAAATTGCATATTAGGAAGAAAAGATATTGTTGAAGTACTCTTGAAGCCCAGTTTGCTATCACTCACAGAAATTTTTGAAGATACCAAAAAAGAGTCTTTACAGTACCATGCTGTTTATTTTTAATAAGTGTTATGAAACACTAACTCTGTACATCAGATAGAGGCAAATCGATACATTTTTAGGAACATCCTTAGGGTGACAATGCAGTCAAAGCTTTCGAGAACACAGCAATTTGAAATAATTATTATGATTAATTTTTTGTCAACAAACAAATTGGCCAGCCTGTATTATAACATGCTTCAGCTTCGGTTATAAAATGAGAACTAACTTCATCGCTGTAATCTTTAATACAAATTTCAAATTACATTACATTGCACAAGTCAATCCAATGAATTGTGGACAGCTGAAAAGAGAATACAAGATTCCTTATATCCTTACAAAACCGCCTTCAAGTATCAAAGTTTCTAATAGTTAATTAATTACCTTGTTCAAAAAAATCAGTATCAAAGACTAATTACCAAAAAAATTGCTCTAAACTCATAATAAAAATAATTAATTACGATAAAAAATTAGCACTGAACGTATCCTAGAAATAAGTAAACAATTTCTTGCGGAAGACTGACAAGGTGTTAGACTCCCTAATGTAAGGAGGTAGTTCGCTAAAAAATATCGGGTTCTATATTTGGAATCGTTCATCCCTTTTGTGCTCTAAAGAGTAAAGACTTCTTAAAACATACCATAGTCATATATCGCATCTTTCACCTAAAGTGGAGATCTGTACAATTTTAAACATCTGTATAACTTACATACTTCACATGGTAAACTTAACGGAATCCAGTTGATAGAATCCGTAAAAATTACCCATTTTATAACCTCTAAATAGTTTATTCAGTACCAAACCGACGCCACTCGCAAAGCTGCAGAAATATTTGAAAAAAGCAAGGTAAGAAATTTTAAAAATGTTTTGATAACAGTGAATTGCTACAAACAGCATTGTTATACACTTAAAACGAGTTGACACATTGAATTAAATATATTTAAAAAGTCATTTTTTTCACTAAGCTTTCACACATTTAGGTTTTGAAATAAGTAATAAATGCTAGTGGCTAAATTTAAACTAAAGTCAAGTACATTATTACTAGAAATTTTACCCATTGTGAATGTTTATCGTATTAATCGATTCTATTCCAGATCCTTCAGATTGTTTTATGCTGATCTCTTAGATTAGGATATTAAATCGTAATAAAAGTAAAATAGTGGATTTCCTCAACTGTAGAAAATCATATCTATGTTGTCGTTTTGCTGCAGCAAATAGAGGACTTGGACAAATCTTACCTTGAACAGAAAGGAGAACTGGCTTCTCTTCAGGAGCGTTTAGATGACTTGGCTCGAGAAAGGTTTGTGTTTATGTACAGTATTTAATATTTTCTTGTGTCGGTGTACTACATGTACATGTGTGCAATCCATTCCATACCATAGGAACTGCCAATCAGATAGCAAGAAAGCCGTTGTATATGCGACAGTTTTACACGTAGCTTGCGTTGCGATCTTATACCCGCTAAAAGTTTGTGAACGGTAAACGCGCTCTTGTTGAGACTCACGTATACTCAGAAAATAATTTATTCCAGGAATATTCCACAGTACACTACTCGAAAGCGGTATATTATACATTTCATGATTCATCTTACTTTCCTTGATCTTCCGCTAAATTAATAGTATTGCACTCAGAGGATGTTTGGAGCAGACAAAATCAGTGTTTGACTGTTCCGTTTCGTTTGTATTTAATTGTTGCGTCAATGATGCGCGTCGGTTTGTTTTTGACTGCAAGGCCAGTGTTGCTCTCTCTTATTTTTACTTTTACGTCAGATATGTGCTTTGATTGTTTTTGACTGTTGTGTTTGAGATGCGCGCTCCTTTGTTTTTGAATGCTACGTCAGAGGTGCGCGCTCTCTTTGTGTTTGACTGTTGCGTCAGTGATGCGTGCTCACTTTGCCTTTGTGATGTGCACTCTCTTTGTTTGTTCTTAACTGTTGTATCAGTGATGCGCATGGCCTCTGAAGTGACACAAGAAACTGTTGTTTTCCTTTACAATGTTGCGGCCAGTTTTTGTCCTTGTCTGAGGCGCTTCTTTTTGTTTTGAAAGGACAAAGTTCGAGTCCCGTGACAAACAACAGCAGGCACGAGTAACAAGTCTCGAAAGAGAGAAGACCTCTCTTTGCGACGAACTTAAAAACACTGTGAATGAATTAACACAGGTAAGAACGCTATCGACAGTCTGCATGTCATGTACGCCCGGAAGAGAGACAGGACTTGTTTTGAGGTGTAGGGCCGCGGCTTTAACTTTTTAACAAAGCTGGTTGGCTTCAAATGCAGTGACCCTTACCCCGTCATGGTATACTACAATGTTCTGATGTTCATAAACGTTGTAGGCTGTAATATAAGAATAGATAAACTTTTGAATTTTATATTCAAACGTTACTTAATTGATTTGAGCTTCGTTTTGTTTTTATTTCTCTGTTATGGATAATCTCAAGCTTTAACAGCTGGAGTTTTAAAACGCTATGTTATTCACAATATTTCACTTTTTTTCTTTGTCCTGAAAAGCCTTATCAGGGAAGTGGTCAATACAGTATACCTAAAAGTGTACATACCTATTAAAATAAATATGTTGTCGCAGAAATCAGTGCAGCTCGATAGAGTCGAAAAGTCCCTTCGTCTTAAAGATGAGGAATTGGCTAACCTGAGGCAGACGCACGCTTTGTACAAAAACAAGGTATGATGAGCTACAGATAATTTTTTATCGTACCTGTCAGGAATCCGACTTGCGTTTTTTGTTTTTATCTTAAAGCCTTACTACTTTTTGCGTAACCATAGGTCTCGATGGAACTGGAGCAAAACGAAGGAGAAATCGCTCAGTTGAAAGAAAGAGTAGGCGATTTACAACAAAGGTGAGAGTGGTTTCATCTCCTAAGCTTTTGTTTTAGAGTTGTTAAATTTGGTGTGGTTCTCACAAGAATGGAAAGCAGATGCAAGGCCTTTTCTCCAGTAGCGTGTTACAATTTCACCTTCTATGCGATTTGTCTTTTCGTGTTTTCGTGCACAAATGCATACAATGCGCACATTCACATGTATGTCGGCACTTGAAGCAGTTGCAAGTCTTCAAAAGTTTTTTCTCTCTAATTCTCGAATGTAACTCAGTAAACAAAATGTTCTGTGAGCTTTGTTCTGCTGCACAGTTTAGCAATATTCCAACTAAATGTGGTTACTATGTATCTTTTCCACGTACGTCTCTTTATTCTGATAAGTTTTTGTTCCTTGTTCTAGAGTTGACGATAGCAAGCTTTCGGGTAACGATCAGGTTCAAGCTATTGAAAAAGAGGTACATGTTGGTTTATAGTGCTCCTTGTGACTGTACGTGTGATTATAAGAAGTTCTCGTTTCTTCTCCATGTGGTATAATAATTTGTTCGTTTCAATCTTAATTGCAGAGAGAGCAGCTTGAGAATCGGCTCCGTGAAACTCGTGATCAACTCAATGAATTGAAGGCGAACTCAAACGATCGAACTAACACTCTGGGATCTCTGGTAATAATCTTTCTTGTCGTTTTTTTTAGTTTTTTTTTTGTTCTTTCGAAAACAGAATATTTTCAAGGAATTTCCTTCCTCATAATTGTAAGAGTTCTTTAACTTAAGACTCCATAATTCCTTGGGCCTTTCAAACTTTTATTTATTGCACATTTGTGTTGTCGTAATGGTAGACTGTGAAGATTACCTGAACTCTTTCTTATTATTGCAGTTGCTGGGTATGATATAAAATAAAATTGATTTAATTAACAGTATGTTATAGAAGAACAATCATGTTAAGAAAATCAAAGGACTTATATCTAAATATTGAGATTGGAACTGTCAAAGAATTAGAATTTTATTCTGTTTATTTAAATTTACTCTCTAGGTTAGCACTCTAAATGAAAGATTGGAAAGAAAGGAATCAGAACTTACCGAGTGCAAACGAAGATACGACCAGGATTACGAAAGCTGGAAAAGTCAAGTATGTTATCACTGGTGCTGTTTCATTTAATTACTATTCATATCAAACACAGACCACAATGTTTGGGTAACACAGTTGATTGACAAGCAGAACGAGACGCTAGCGCTAGAGATCAACAAACTAAACAAATAAGGGTGGTGTGGGCGGGAAAGCGTCGACTAGCTCGAAACTGGCAGAGCGTCAGAGCGACCTGAAACCCGATGCACTGGAAAGCTACGACAAACTGTCCAGGGGCGTGTTCTGTACGGTAATTACCCATCATCACCCAGGGTGATCATTGTACGTTATTTAGATATTGGTTGTCAATAACTTTCTGATAAACAGGGCAAACTACTTGTATTGACTCGATAAGAGTTTAATCAAGTTCATGACCACGAGCTCAGTGGGTGTCTTTTCACTGGAAGATCCTTGACACCTAAAGCACCTAACTTCTTTTTAAGCGGGACAAAATGAAAAAAAACAAGTTCCTGTAAAAGACCGTGCCTGTTGCAGATATGAGCAGAATTAAGCTGCGAATAAGATGTCGGTTGTGAATCGGTAGCAGTATGAAAACTGCCATAAAAGTTTAAGATAGCATAAAGTATCACTGCAAAGCAACTTGCTCTGTTTCTAAAAGTAGAAGAGGTCGTCATGATGAGAAATTCGTTACAGATAGGGTGATAACCCGATTAGTCGAACTGGAGCGCAGTGTTGGTCGACCAATTGCATGTTTTGTTCTCCGGCGAGCTTGGCTCAAATTCTAGACACATTTTGCCGCCTACTTTTTTAAAAGGCATTATTTTTCAAATATTTTTTGAAGAACTTTCAACTTGAGCAGGAATTGGCCATATTAAAGGAGGAATCGTTGTCAGGAAAACGCTCCTCAGACAGACAAACAGCGAGCTTAGAAGGACAGGTACTTGTTTATACTGCTTATACCGCTCTTTTGACCTGTTTTTTTATGTGCACTGTTTATGCAGGCATGCGAGTGTCTTGCATATGAACAGTTAGTCCAACTATAGCTTTCAAGAACCTATAAAGTGCGGTTAGCTTTTTGTGTGCTTTATTGGAGGCAATTGAGACAGCCATTTTCCACAGTATTTCTATGTAGTGATTATCTCTCTCATCCAACCACATGCGCCTTGTCTTCTTTATAAGGTGATACGTTTGGAGGCTGCTCGGGAAAAAGAAAAGAGTGAAATGCAAACAAAGCTGGTAAGAGCAGTAAGCGTTTGCCCTCGAAACAATTTTTAAAAATTTTTTTGATCATCATATTGAAAGTGAGTTATGTACAGGTCTTGAAATAACAAGAGGGAGAAACTCAGCCTCGTTTTAAACGTTATCAAAGTATTTTCTTGTAATTGCTTTCTGATAGGACCAGCTAAAAATGATCGAGAATGAGTATTCCAGACAGGAGGACGCGTATAAGCAACAAATAGCTGACTTGGAGGAGGAAAAAGAGCAGCTACAGGTGGGAATAGTGAAATGAGTAACTCCTGGGTAGAAACACACTCTGTTTAGGACCTTTTGAGATAAAAAAAAAAACTTAACATTTTCGAGAATAGGTAGGAAGTTTAAAGAATCAAGTAGTGAAGTATTTAAGTGTTGGATCGTGCTCAGACCGCAGATATGGAGAGCACAATAATCGGGAACTGAGTTCAGTGGAGGGGTCATGTGATATGGGCGGGCTGTTGAAGTGCCATTCTAAGGAGAACTGACACAAGGTACAAGAAGAGTCGATCATCCATTTTTAGGATTCGAAGAACTTTGATGGAGATCCTGAATTCGAACTGTTGGGGTGTATCATCGGATGTCTCAGTTTGCAAATATTTTGATGACAGATAGAATGAGAGCACAGAGAAAAAGGCAAAACGTCTCGAGAAGTTTAGGGGAAAAAACGATTCTAGTCTTATTATCAAATTATCATGTATTTGTGTAATTTCCGTATCGGGTTAAGGGCTTGAATAGAGAACAGATTCAGTTTCCAGGCAGTACAGTCAGATTTCTCGTGTATAGAATCGATACAAAATGAAGTTCATTAAGTCAATAGATATTGATGTTTCTCTACAGAACGAACTTCTGTCCAAGGCAGAGGAGAACAGGCAAGTTTCACTGTGCTTGGAGGACGCTATGAGGGAAACAAATGAGCTCAAAAGCCAGGTTAGCCAATCTCTGTTCAATGAAACTGCTTGAAATCACAAAGACACGAAATTGAAAAATCGCAGCACAGTGTGCACACTTATACTTGTTAGTAATGTGGTGGGAGTGAAACTAATGAAGATAGAATGATTACTTTGATAAAGTTCTAGAGCTGAATTCTGAAATCGTTTTGTGAAAGGCAGCTCTAACTGTACATATAGCCCTAAATTTTTGCAAAGCTCCCGGATAAGGGCTAGAGTTTAAGATTTGTTCAATCAGTGAATGTAAACTTAAAAAGTCAGGTCTTACCAATATAAAAGTTACCAAATCTAAACCTCTTTGACTTGCACAGTGTTCAAGTTTCTTGTTCATGTATAGCACTTACATTGGGGAGGTAATCACTAATTAAAGAAAATAAAATAAAAATCTTTATTATCAGCTGTCAGCTAAGTTCCATTATGAAATGCAAGTTTAAATGTACATGGAAGTTGAAATGAATCTAGATTTAAATTTCTCTGGTCTTTGTTGCACTTCTAAGTCTTAAATGACTTAACTAATAATCTGTTTTACGTTTCAACTGAATTAACTCAAGAACTTGCACGTAATTTGCCATGCTTTCAGATTGCTAAATTTGAGGAGACACTAAAGGAGAAAAATAATCTGTTAACTTGTTTTAAAGAGAGTAAGGTGAGAAAGCAACGATTTTAAACGAGGGAGGAGACCTGGAAATGTTTTTTTACAAATATTGTGGAACAAGGTGCATCGCGACAGAGAATGCTTCCACAATCCTTGTTCTGCTCCCAAAATTCTGTTTCTATCCTTGCCTCTATCCATTGAGTTAAGCTTCCCAATGAAACATCAGCCCAATAAAATGAGCTATCCTTACGGCAGACATTCTCTCGATTCTTTCTCTAGACTGATTTCGTTTGTATACCGATATATCATGTAAATGTCAGCGTAGCTTTAACTTTTAGCTCCCATTTCTCTTTTTAAACCTTCACTGGAGAGCACCCTTTACTTTGATAAAATAGAAAATGTAAGAAATATTCTCTCAATTTTATTTCATCTTTTTCTGCGTGTTGACGCACAATCCTCGGGAACTGCGTTAAACACTTTTCGTGTGCATGCAACTCTTTTCATTTTGTTATCTCTCTGGCGATTACAGCTTGATTCACCTTCTCATGTTGTGAGTAACCTCGGTCCTGAAGCACTCGAGAACCTCAAGGAAGAGCTGAATAACACAAAGGTACTACCTGGCTTCATGTCACATTGCTGTACAAACGAGAGATGGTTGACACGGTGATGAATAATTCTAGGTTGAAACGTTCACCACGGCAGAGGACGTTTTACTAGTTATCTCCCTTAAGCCCATTTGAGCTTCTCCTCATTGGTGCTCTACGGGGTTTAACTGACTTTTTAGTGACATTTGAATAAACCTGCCATGGAGTAGCGTCCCATCCGTGGGGAAGCACACTTCATCTAGTCGCTTTATGTACCACTGACACAAGAATAAGTTAGGGTAGAATGAAGTACTCAGCTTTTGGTCACAATACAACCTTACCTACCAACAGCAGTCATTGGGATACCTAAACACGCTATAACGTTCAGTTAAACATATCTTATCAATGCAATTTCAGTATACACATCACTAGGATATGCAATTTATATTGACCATTCTGAATTTCAGAATTTGTTTGTATTATTAACCAGTTTTAATTCTGTTCTCAAGGATCGTTACCAGAATGCAGAAGAAGTTTTAAAACAGAGGTATTATTTTAAATATATTTTTATTATTATATTATGATTAGCGAGACGTTTCTCAGGTAACCCGGAGGAGTTGGTAACATGATACTTGACCCTGATTGGCTTGTTTCGGCGTTCAAACTTTGTATTCTAGATGTTGGGTGCTTAGTTTTCGTTACAAACAGCAGTCATCGAGAAAAACCGTTTTCACCCTCCTTCGTATATATATGACTATCTTCCTTTGGTCTTTTTTCTTCCTTTTTCTTCTTCAACACAGAGAAAAGACTATATCTGAGCTACGAAAAGCTGTTGCTGAGAAGGAGGAGTTACTAAATCGTTCAACCACAAAGGTAACAAAAGTGACCATCAAGTTATGCGATTTAAAAAGGATGTCAGATGTCAGTCGTAAAAAGTAGTCGTCGCTTTCCTCCAAGGAAACATTTCGTGCAAATGCTGGGTTAGCCACTGAAACAATTCAAATCAAACTGAAACTGCTGCTATGGAGAACACGAGTATTGTGCAAATAAAATATCTACCATATGCAACATAATATTTGCGTCAGAGCAATTTTTAATAGAATATCGAAAGGATCTTGGAATTTTTTCTATTTTGCTTTATTTCGCTTAGTGATTGGTCCAGAAAACTGGCGCCATTCTTTTTTCCAATCGCATGCAAAACTAAATTAATCGTGACGTGGCCCCTCGTGTCTCCCTTGACTCGAGCAGTTTGCCTGTCTCTCTCTTAAGTTTTCATTGGCCAGTGTTGATTTTAACCTTCACTCTGTTTGGCCGTTGTGATTATTTTGGTTTCCTTTTTTTCGACACTCTACTAAAAAACTGTTCAAACAGTTTACTAGATCTCGATCACAACTGCATCCTTCTCTCATTCTGCACCAGTTTCGGTCCTCAAACAACAGTTTAAATGTTATTGATAGCAGATTTAATTCATTATATCTTGTGATTTGTCTTTAGATAAGGCAATATGAAGAAAATAACAGATATATAGGAAATGACAGAATTTATAGTCCGGAGAGCAGAGGTGAGTGAGCAGTTTGGTTGTCCTAGTGATTGGTCCTACACCTGTAGTTTTTGTTTTTGTTATTCGGTAGTTTTCATTGTTCAGTTCAACTGAAATGTCCGTGACGCTGTTTGCATACGGGTGTGCAGTGCATGTTTTCTTTACAGGGCTTAAAAGAAATTGAGCTGTAATTTGTAATCATATGTGCCAGTTGTCCATCCCAACATGTATATGTATGTTTACAGTCAGGGTAATAGAAAAAGATAATCACCAATATTGGAGAAATTTTTCAGTTATGTTAGGGGCAATTCGGCATTAAATTACTTTTGCTGTATTCGCTCTGTGATTGGTTTAGAAAACCATGCCTTTCTCCCAAAACAATCACGTGCAAGGCCTAACACTAATCACGATTGGGTCACCCGCGTTTTCCCGCCCCTCAGGCAGTTTTTTCGTTTTTCCTCTGATTTCTCGTCGATTTATCTTTGGTATTTTCCTTGGCCTACTTGGCCGTCGTTATTACTTTGATTTTGGTTTACGAGTTGAACTTGTGTTATAAATACACTCGGTTATATGTAGAACAACCAGCATAATACTTTTATTTTCCAACCTCATTCCCGTTTGATTCGAAATTTACACGTGTGTTAAGATAGTGATGGAAATCATGATGACATCTTGTTTCTCTCACCGTTAAAGATTCACACAAGTTAATCACAAATTTAAGAGAAAGAGTTAAGGAACTGGAAGAGCAGCTTCAAGAAAGAGAGGTAGGCGATCAGGATTAAGAGAACTCCATAACCTTATCGATAAGTCAGTGCTTTTTAGTGGCGTTTTGTTTTGGTTAGCACTGCCCAACCATGATAAATCTTCATTTGTTCACTTTCCAATGTTCACTTATAGGATTTGCGTCAAGAAGGTTAGCTCGCCTTAGATGAGCAGAATTTTTTGTGGAACGAATAAATTCACTATGTAGATTCTGAAGTAATGTGTTATTTATTAGACGATTGTTACAACTTTCATTTTATCTTTCTTTCCAGATGCTTCTTTTGGATGAAAACGAGGTATGCTTTACTCGATTTTTCTATTTTTATCATTTTTTGTTGTTCCATGCTTAGTGTTTGCTTTGTACATTTATCGTTTAATATTTGAAGTTTTTTTATGACTCCAGTTACGTGACCTCAGAAAAGATAACAATCGACTTGAAAAAGACCTGGAGGACAAGGACAAGGTAACCATGACGATATATTGGAACGCAAGGTGATGGGGGTGGGGTGGGGTGGGAGTTGGGGCCTGAGGCTGATATCGAGTCGGGACACTCATTACTTTGTCCTCTTCCTGCCGCGAAAGAAATTCTAATAATTAGAAATTTTCTGAAATAAGTAAATCTCGCGAAAGGGGTTTGCCTTTTTTTTTTATTGTCGTTCGTTTTTTAGTGCATCCATAATTTGTTTGCTCTGTCATTCTACGATCACCGCACCAAAATGACCCTGACCTTGAACAGAAAACAAATAAAAGCTGTGCAGTAGTAATTCATATCAGACATATAAAAGCAGCACGTTGACATTCATGGAAAATACAGTATGGTACCGGAAGAAATATAAAACTTTATTATCTAATTTTGCATCAAATTTATACTTTATTTTGTTCGTTTGAATAGTTATAATAATAGCATTACAAAAAAAGTCTGATCTCGTGTCCCTTTGTGCTGAGTTTACTGTTTAGTTCAAAATAGTTGTTCATTTGAATGCAAATTTTACTACTCTTGTATTGACGTTAGCTACTTTTTTCACCTCAACATTTTATTGCGTTTTAAGTTTTACAATAGCCGGTAAATGAATGGTATGCACAACTCTTAAGCCATACACGAAAACGCTGCAGACTTATTTTTCAATACGTACTAACTGTTACGAAGTTTCACTAATACTTTTCGTTGAGCGCGCTGAATAAGCCATGTTTTTGTTCCCGTTTTGTCTTACCTTGCGTTTTACAGTAGCGATTTCTCTATCTCCACAGAAAATAAAACTTCTACAAGCTAAAAATATAGAATTAAAGAAAGCATTCCAACGGGAGCTGGTAAGATTATTTGTTTTGGTAATTTTTTTAATTGTGGCTGAAGTCAGCTCTATAAACTGAAAAAAGGAAAGAACCAAATAGACACAAATTCTCTGGCAACTAAATGTGCCTTTTTATATTTGTAAGAAAATGGCTGCTCCGGGGGGCGAACCTGTGCAGAGAAGTCCTGGAACTCCGAATGGTGACGTCATTGTACACAGCGATGAAGAAAAAGAAAGACAAGACTATCTCGAAGTTAATTTTAAGTATCCTTTGATGTTTAAAGTATCGAGACAGATCTTACAAATTACGAGGCATACATTCCAATAAACCAGTTATCCATATGTCCTCTTGTTCTTCTTCCTTTAGTTGATTAATCTATCGTAGACAGTCGATAATTTGTTCAGTTAGTTAGGCGATTGAGCGGAGGGTTGCTTGATTAGTCCGTCATCCAGTCAAGAAGTTAATCTGGCAGACATTATCTTCAGTCACTCAGTCGGTCACCCTATCCGTTCGTTTGTTCATACTTCCTTCTGTCGGTCGTTCGTAAAATTGCGTGATCTGTCTTCGTTCGGTCGATCGCGATTGGTTTCCTTAAATGATCAGTTTCATTTTGGGGAACTTGTTTGAGGGAGTTTCTCTGGGATCTTCGTTACTATTGCATCATTATAGGTTGCTGTTGTGAACACATCACCTTAACTAAACGTTAGATATTTAAAACACGTAGTTTTAAAATACATGTGTAGTACAAACAAGCAGGTAATCATTGTGTTTGTTTTTGACGAGCTGGTTAGGATCCGTGCATTCTCGGAAAAGTCGTGTACATCTTTTTCTCCGTTTCCCAATTTTTTTTTCCGAAGGGGTGGGGGAGTGCGACCTGACCGGTAGTAATCAGTTAAGAGTTACTTCTCAAACTGAATTCGACAAAAAAGTCGAGTTGTTTTTCCTCTTGTTTCTTCACAGTTTTTGTGGCGATAGATTTTAAAAATGTTAGTCGGTTCCATTACGCCTTTAGTTATTAACTGATCTAATTTCTTGCCTTTGTTACTTTTTCAGTCTCGTCAGCTAATCAACGTGATTGGTCATTTATTAAGATTTACCCCGAAAGAGCACGCATGCGTCAGGGAAGCTATGGAATGGAAGGTTTGTTTGAACATGGACTGAGCTTATTGTTATAGTAGGAGAAAAGTTCGTGAGTGCCCTTACCAGCTGCTCCTGCATCTTTCGTCGTCGTCGTTATTGTTTTTATAGCGGCGAACGTTGTTGTAGCTTGATTGGACTTATTACGCACAGCAACTTCCTTACAAAGAAATACTTTAAATTTCGAGTCATGTGTTTAGCACAGCTACGTTTCTTCTGCGTACAGCATTGTATTCTGTGTGTAGACTTGCATCAGTTAGCGGGGAGACTTCAATTCAAGTAAGATCCTACAAGTTTATACTATTATGACAAGTAATGCCTTTATTTTTGTTTTCTTTCAGTTGCCATTAGATTAGGGTTTTTAGAAATGTTCGTTTTAGGTAAGTCTGAATGATAACGTAACCGTGTAGTATTTGCTAAAGGATTTTTTTCCTTGCCTTAAGGTTGCTTTTCGTCAAAACTGAAATATTTGGGTGTTCTTCCGCCGTAATTTTCCTCAATAATTGCTCTTTACATTTTTTTTGTTTGATAATTTACACAACAAAGCCTCGTTGGTACAATTAAAAGATCTTGTAGGTTAAAAGCAACCTTATTAACCCAATATTCGTGAACCCAAGTCGTCAATGCGAGCTGCGTTATTGTTGTAATTCACGCATTTACTCTAATATACATTCGCTCTGCAGTGCTCAACTAACTTGCCATAAACATTTATGTTGCAGATTGCAGTTGTAATAAGGACGTAAAAAAAAAAAAAATTCAGGGTTTATCCTCTATTTCACACGATACGTGGTGGCTGTGAAATTCTGTCTCATTGACCGATGCACCATTGATTTTCATCTTAAATACTTCAGTTCATCCTTTTTTTTCCTAACCCACGACCGTCTCAATTTTCTTGTAAAATGCAAAGATATATTATAAACGCAGCAGAATTAATATTCAAAAGGATAAGGGAATTATGAAAAACTGAGCATAAAAATGTGACATTAATAAACAATTTTTCCCTGAAAAGTCAGGAAACGAAATTTTTTTGTAAAAGCGTTATCCGTTCCAAAAACTGAGAATGATTGGAAGCTAGAAAGAACTCCTTATAAATATAGTTAACCGGACAATTACAGCTGAAAATATTGTGAAGGAAGGTGAAATATCCCCTGGGAAGTGTTTTTAATACAAGACGTCAAAATGAAATTTATGTAATACGTGATGAAATCCATGGAAAGAGTATAATTTATTGAAATCATTGTTATTTATCAATTGGATGAATTATAACTTTCGCGGGTTGCACATTTTTAGACACAAGCTTGGAGTGTAATATATTATTTATAGCAGAACAAAAACAATATTTGGGAAAACGTAAATAAATGCTGTCAGAAATGCAAAGTTTTTCATGGGGGAACTTGTCCTGTCTGTGTTTCACCCTCAGAAACGGAGTGAGAAGATTGTTTAAACGATGGCAAATAGTCTTCTCTTCTTCCCCTCCACGCGAAAAAAAAAAATTGGCTACAGCAATTGTAGCTGCATATGTAAAGTCGTAGCTGATTCAGTGCTAGAGCTGCAATTTCAAAGCTTCTAGAAACTATCTAATAAGCTACTGCTGCAAGACAAGATGCCCTATTGCGCGACCGATTTGAGTGATAATTTTTCTTTTATGTGTTATTCAATTTTAAACCAAACTCCTTACAATACGCTGTATCAAGCAGTTTTTCGACATATACTTATGTGCAATGCAGTACCTCGACGTTAATTTTTTCAATCTCTGACCTCTTCTGCAAAATTTAATTGACGCGTACAAATAATACACTCTGGGCACTTCCTGCAAAGTAAGAGGCTTTTGGGTAAATTTCAAGATAAATGACATTGACATAAACATTGGTTAAGGGTAGTACAACTTGTAGTGTCAATATAATAATTACTATATAGGCCGATTAAAGTTTGATCTATCACTCTTAAACTTTTTTATACATGAAACTTTCCGTTTCAAATTTTTACATTGTACTAGATTTTCTGTAGTTTTAGACTACACTTAGGGTTCTGAAATAATGATTAAAATTAAGTTTTGCAATGTTCACGAATCACTTGACTTTCACGACACACTATATCAAATTAATGATGCGGGAATAGCTTTCGTTTTAACGGAAAGTATTGTGCCCTTAGCATGGGATTTCTGTGGAGCGTTTTTCTTTTCTTTTTATCCGTAGTCCTTTCAAGGGACAAAATAAGTGCAAAACTGTCTTAACGTTTCCTTGACGGCTCTTTGAATTTCTTTGATCTTCCAACAGTAAAGAATGGGATTTAGCAAGGAATTAAGGTTGACTAAAACAACCGCGGAGACGTGTGCCACAAATAGTGTTAAGTTTAATCCACGAATAAGCGCTATGACTGAAAGTAATGTAAAAGGAAGATAGCATGACATTAGCGTTAAGTGAACCCACAGCGAATTGATGACTGTCTTTTTGTACCGCGCCATCGTCAGCTTGGCACCTGCTCCTGGGCACCCATGATCTTGCACGGCCATTCGCCGACATCGAAAATAGTGAAAGATTCTTGTGTAAGAGTAAGTCGAGATTGTTATCTTCAACATGATCATTACACCGCTCGCAATTCCGTATGCCCTTATGCTCCAGAACCAAGCAGCTCCCACCAAAGGGCTTTGGACCCACAGTAAAAAGACGACAATACGAACTCGCTTTATGGTGACAACTTGTCTATATCGTATTCCTAACAAGAGAGCCATGAGTCGATCCACAGAAATGGCAGTTATCGTCGACAAAGATACACCGGAGAAAATTGTACTTAACAGAAATGCGACGTATTCCAGCAGTCGACATTCTTCAAAGGTGCTTTGGCTTATTCCTGTCTGAGTCATAGCAATCATTACTGATTGTGAAATAAAGCCAGCGCAAAGGTCAGTGATTGTGAGATTAAAAAG